GTAAGACTTGTTGGTTGGTGGGTTGCAGTTGGAATTTATTCAAATTCAGTTGTCAAACTGGGTAGATGTCATTCTGACAGATACTGGCTTTGACAGTCCTGAAATCTGCAGATGACATTCTAAAATGCAAAACAAATGATCGGTTTGAATGCTAACAATTTAGCATTCAAAAATTATTTGATTATTGGGATGGAAGACCTCCCTCTACAACTTTTGGACGGGTAGGAGTGAATCGGCACCACCTTACTAAGCATAGAACTCTGCAGTCTGAGGTCACTTCTATTCACACCACCCACTCTGAAGAGTGCAGCACTAACCACATCAAGATTTTAGTGCGAATTGCAAGTCATTTTACTGAGAGGAGGTGCAGACTTTGACAGTCTGATATAAACCCAAAGACCTGAAAATTGTTGAAGCTAAAGAGATTCTTGTTTGCTTCAGAAGAGCACAGATTAATCCTGTACTGAACTTGCACATGGTCAACAGCACCACTTTTGACGTGTAATTGATGCAAAACTCACTTTGTGAATCTATTTTCTGCAAGGCCCACATGTCATCCCTCCATCCTCATCAATGTTCACCAAGGAACCATTGAAAGCTTCCTAGTTTTGGAACGGTTTAAGGCAGTTTCGTCTTCATCTCACAGCTTCCACTCTTTCGAAACTCATTGGTGATGAGTGATCAGTTCAAGTCTGTATTCTGTGCACTGCTTCTTCATCTCAGATGCCATGCATTTGTCTGAAGCATTCTTTCTTCTGCTTGAGGATCTAATAAGTGCTTTTTGAAAACAACCACAGCACTATTTCCTTGTACTGGAAATCATGCAAGCTATTAAAAATGTGATTAGTTCCTTGTTTGCAATTTCTGAAAGCTTTTGTGTTTACTGTTCAGTTTATAATAGAAAAAGAATTAGTTTTATTAAAAATTGCTCTATTAAAATAAAAAAACCTGCATTTAAAATTTGCATTCAAATCGGTTAGTTATTATTTACATAAGTTGTGACATGTGAGTTGGTGAGGATGAAAGTAAAGGGAGCGAGGCTTTGTTTTTAAAACTGTTAGGACTTCAAACAATCGTTGATATTAAATCTTAAACTTTAAAAAAAGTCTCTCATCAGTTGTTGCTGAAGTAGTTTCACACCGTTGTAATTGTTAAAACGAACAGTTTGCTTTAAACACATGGTATTCATGCTCTTTCACCCACATTGTTCTGCTTTCTTTTAGGAACTGTGAAAGTGACTCGTGTATATACTCAGTTTTACTTGAGGCCCAAGATTTGCCTGTCTCCAATATTTCTTCTTTGTTCAACTTTTATTGGATTTCACATGTTCACTCAAGGGAAAATACATGAACAAACTTGTGTGTGCCATGGAGTCAGATCTCAGAACAGGTGTAAAAATGTGTGTAACTCTTACCACTGGTTGGCTTGTCTTGGTTTTGCAGTTGGTGGCGGTGGTCATGGACCTAATCACCGACCTGCTGATCCTGCAGGACCTTTTAGATGCATCCAGCAAGAGAGCAGTAGCTGTTTACCTTCTCCTGGAGGAGGGTGGCTTGCCACACTTCCTGGACATGTGTAGCCGGCTGCAGGTTTCTCCACAGCACCTGAGGGTAAGTCAAACATGGCAGTATCCTTTTTAATCTGAATGCGAGAACTATAAGTTGCACTACGTCAGTGTCTGTTGCCTTGTTGAAGCCAGAGGTCAATGGTCAATGGCCAGGCTGGTTCGAGGTGATGGGGCTACAGTAACTCAGGGCCCTTTCACACTGGCATCTGTATTTAATTTCCAGGAATACTTGCCCGAGGGAACTTTTTTTTGATTGCAAAAGCAAACCTCTGGGGTCCTGGAAACATTTCTAAAACCACTTCCAGAGGTAGTCTCGGCAACAGTTCAGTCATTCTGGTGGAGGGATGGGCGGGACATGTGGCTTAAAAGAGGTTGTTGCCTGCTCAACATGACTTAACAAAGTACACAAATCAAAATAGTGAGGAAAGCATGTTTGTGGAGGGGCGAGGAAGTATTCAGCGACTCTCATCTTGTTTTTACACCATCCACGCTATGTGATAACGGCGATGTAAATACGCAAGTGTCTATAAAACAGATCAGAATGGCCTTGTGAACATAAAAATTTGGGAGGCAGATCATCCGCTTCAGAAACAGAACATGTTTTATGAAAATCCTTTGAAAAAACCACTCGTTTGCAGAAGAATCTCTGAACGCTCCCTGGGTGCCCCTCATTTGAGCTAAGAACAGAAAGCTGAAGTTACAATTCACAAAGACTCACCTAAGTTAGACAATAGACGGTTAGAAAAACGTTGCCTGGTCTGATGAATCTTGATTTCAGCTTCAACATTCGGAGGGCAGGGTCAGAATTTGGCTTCAACAACATGAAAGAATGGACCCATTCTGTCTTAAATGAACAGTTTAGGCTACTGGGGGTTGTGTAATAGAGTTCCTTGGCACTTTTTGGGCTCATTGGTACCAATTTTTCACCGTGACAATGCCACAGCTTACCTGAGAATTGGATTGTGCCACATGTCATAATGCGCAACCGACAAATCTATAGCAGCATGATGCCATAATGTCAAAATGGACCAAAATCTCAGAGGAATGGTTCCAGTACCTTAATGAATGATTAAGGTCGTTCCAGGTCCAAATGTGTTCCTAAAAAGAAGTGGCTGTAATTGTATACAAAATGTAAGAATAACTTATTAAAAGCATGGCAAGTTCCTTCAGGACTAAGACTGTAATCGAACACCCTTGCTTCAGATAATTATTGTGAGTGACCCCTCACCCCCATACTTTGCCCACAGGTGAACCAAAAGATTGTACTTTGTCTTCTTCACAACAAAATACTTAGTACCGTTGTTTGATATCACAATTGTCACTTTTGTTCTTGACCACCAGATTTGCTCTTATACAAGAAGTGTTTTTTTCACTTCTCTTTGAAGAACCGCTCCAAGTAATTTCAATTCCCAACTGAGGGAAGGAAGTTCTCAGCCAATCTGTAATGGTGCATGATCCCCCTTTGAAAATGGGAAGCTGAACTGCTGCATATCTGCTGATGTTTAGCATCTCCTATCGATCATTCTGACAAACCTAAGGTATTCCTTTAATGTGTTTCCTTGAGCAGGGGAAATAGTAGTATTTAAGGCAGTTGGTTGCCGTTGTGTTACTAGTTATGGTCCCAGCTGCTTTTAGATGGTCCCCGTCTTACTTAGGGCTTGGGCATAGCTGTTATAATTACTGGAACTCAATCAGTTGGGGTCTTTCGTGAACCTTTACACCAAGGGAGCCTGACAGTTATTTAGTGTTTCCTCCTTTTCCATTGTCACTTATTCACCAAGCTGCTTGTTGATGCTGATTCAGCTCTATGTGCAAACCCATCTAAACTTCAAAAAAAGCTCTGTGCTGCAGATCAGCACACATAAATAATTAAACAAATTATTAAACGCTTAAATAATTTAACTTAATTGCAAAGCCAATTACAGTGTTGAAAGTAGTAGTAGAAAATTGTGGTAAACATAAGTGTGGAAACTATGCAGACAAACCATTTTAAAGCTCTGGAAAGAACCTCATCTTTCATGTCATCCAATAGTAAACCAACAGCATTCTTTCTCTTTTTTTAAATTCTTATCTCCGTGTTTGGTTTTGAAAGGAAAACCATATGTTGTGAAAACAGAACGTTAACAACTCAGATATGACTTATCTGGACAGTCAGGCATGAACATGTGACTTGTCAAATCGGATAAAAGTGCGCGTGACAACAGATTGTCGGCTAGACTCAGACCTGTCTGAACTTTAAACTCTGTGACTCAGAAGCTGTTGCCACAGGGTTGAGCTCACTTCCTCATTCAATGTGCACATGGATAACAGCACTGCAGATTGAAACCCAGGACTTTCCACGAGACTGCCCTAAATACACAGAATCTCCCTTAGGTTCACTGCCAACAAGTCTTATCTGTTAGGATTGTTTTTTTATAGGACACCAAGGCTTTTATCTGAAGCCTTTCACCAAGCAATAGAGTGGGATAAATCAGCATTGTTCTTTCGTGAAAGAGGATGGGCAGATTTGAACAGAGCTAAGAAAAAGGCAACTTGATCCGATTTAGGAAAGTTGTGGTGGGCTCTCATCTCTCACGCGTCTGCTTTTCCTCAATCATGCCAGCTAGGTACTTAGCCCACTGGTTTCTAGTTGTAGGCAGTATCTCTGTATTTTGAATACGCAGTGTACAAATAAAGATTTTCTTTTTCATTATTCACTCAACCGACTTCATCCTGGAGATTTGCCCAAATTAGGTGAATACTTAACCGCTGAACAGATCACCCATCTTTCCAAACTAGGCAGCAAATCTAAAACATCAACATAATTTCATAGACATCCAAATGAGTGGCCAGAACTGGAACCTCTCATTGATGGGAACCTTTAGCACCGGGCTCCTACGATGGTCCCTGCACTAGAATACTAAGCACCTCTACAACTGGCCAAATTATGACAGTTTTATTTTTACTATTGGACATTTCCCTTCAGGAGCTGTTGTTTGGGCCACATTCCCATCCCCGTCCCATTTGCCCTCTACATTAAGAATAATAAAGAAGTTATGTTGTTGACAATCATGTGTTGTTTTGTTTATTTTGCTTACAGAAGCTTTAATAGTGGATGGATTTGCATCATATTTCTGCTGTTTGATCATGTAACCAGATGTATATGTTGCCACTGATATCACACATCTATAACAGTCTCATGGTGTGTTTCAGCATTTATCCTGACTTTTTTTTTCTCTCTCGCTCAGAACCTCCGTGTGCGAACTGTGAAAGGCTCAGGAATGCCCTTGTCTTTTGGTCGTCTCCCAGGATCCCTTTGTTCCAAGTATATGCTTGTGGACGGAGAGAAAGTGATGTTTGGATCATACAGGTTGGTATAATGAGGTCTAAATAAAGTGTTAATTAAAATTAACTAAATTAAAATTGTTTTACACCGTCATAGCAATACAACACAGCTTTCCTGTGGCTCAGTTGGTAGAGCATTGCGCTAAGGTATTACCCAAAGGTTGTGGGTTCAAATCCCAGGGAAAGCAAGAACTGACAGAAAAAAAAAAATATATGTTCATTCAAATGTAAGTCGCTTTGGATAAAAGTGTCTGCCAAATGCATAAAAAAATGTAAATGTAAAAAAAAAAACAAAAAACGTGCTTCACATGTTGGTTAAGAACACATTAAAATATAATGATGCATCATCAACTGTAAAAAATACTGTAAGTCAATTTTATTGTTTTTACCATTATTCATTTGGGGTAAAAAGGCAGGGAAAACAAGTGAGTTTTATGAGTTGATTAAAAACCCGAGCTCTGCTCTCCTATTGGCCAATATTTTCATATTCATGAGGCGTCTGCTTTGAGCCCTGTCTGTTACACTCTGCTTATGAGGGGGAGAAAGTTAAACAAACTTGAGATCATGGAAATATATACAAATAGTATATTCTTAATGTTCGCAGCACTGTGAAGGCATTGATAAACGCAGAGATAAGCTCAGTGACGAGTCTCAAGAATTTGAGACTCGAATTTGAGAATCGGAATTTTTAATGAACAACCAAAGAAAAGAAAGTTCCTTTCGATGTAGATATAGTAGCACGCTCTGGCGCTATTCTTTTAATCTTATAGCTATCTTTAGAAGCAGATTCCATGGCTTCTTTTGTGATCAAGCTGTAGAAAGTGGGGTTCCTTCTCTGTCACAAGGCTGAGTGTTTTACACTTATTCAAGCTAGATATGTCTAAATATAAATAAACAAATGCTGCCTTAATTGTCTTCAGTTTGTGAGAAGATGTTGGTTTCATGACCCTTTTAAAACCATAAATGTTTTCATTCATTTACTTCTGTGTTGTCCGTAGCTTTACATGGAGCTCCTCAAGGATGAATCGTAACACAATCACGGTGATGTCTGGACAAATTGTTGACTTCTTCGACAATGACTTCAGAGAGCTCTATGCTGTGTCCGATAAGGTGGATTTGTACCAAGAGTTTCATGTCAGCAAGCCAACCCTGCCGGCTCCCATCCTGAAGACAGCGGAGGAACCCAGCAGACTTGCAGTTCCTGTATCCATGTCGCGCTTCCAGATCTCTGTAGGGGACTCCAAACAGCCAGATTTGAAGGTCCCTGCGCATAAATACCACAACCCAAAGTACTCTTTAGTGGTTGGGAACAGTCTAGGTGTGACTGGTTCCCTGCAGGACCTCTCTACGCTGAGAGACTATGTGGAGAATTCCACTGTGAGTAACATGGAAAAATTAATCTACACCAATGGAGACAGTCAACGGCCCAAATCTCCAGACTCTGCAGATGAGAAGGAGGAGGCAAATGCTGAAGACAAAAAGCCGTTACAGTTTGGTTCTAATAAACATCGCTCCTCTTTCCGTAAATTCTTAAAAGGCAGAGCAAATAACCAAAGTCCGGACACTCTGTCGAAGAAAATCTCAGATGCTAAACAGAACGGTCATAAAGATACGAAATCTCCCAATCTTTGTAAGGAGGCATCGTGGATGCATAGTCAAATACCGGATTCTCAAGAGTCCCCGAATGGCATAACGCTCACCCCTCAAAAGACTCCTGAGACAGAGTGCATCGATGAAGCTGGGGACAGTTTCGAGATCATAGGGAAAATTCCAGCAGTCAAATTCAAAAACAAAAAGAGCAAGCTCGGTCCCAGAAGTGTTTCTCTTCAGACTGTTGCTACACAGGGTGAGGATGGTACGTACGACTACTGACTACTATTTTCAACCAGAGCTGCAGGATTGTTAGTTTTACTAGAATAATAATGATCCACTTTGATGACGAATTTCAGCCCCATTTCTTTAGTCCTTGATCAAATCTTGTCCCTATTAAAAAAACAATAAAGGATGTTCTGTTCTTCCAAGTAGGCATGATCACCAAAGGGGCGGAGCTAAGCAATAGGCCAACTCTTTTGAAATGACAAAGAACAGGGATTCCGCTAGGTCTCAAAAAGTCTTCATTTTAATTAAATTCGCTGTTTTCGGTCTTCATTTTCAGATCAGTGCTCGGGACTATGCATTCTTCACGTGAGCCGGCACATTTGGTTGTTTAACAAAGATGGCCACAAACAAAGACGTTTTTTAATTTACAATAAAGTTTTAAAGTTGTGAAATCATTTCATGTTTCATGTAACATATACACAAAAACATAAATTATATAAATGTAATTGAAATCACAAAAAAATCGTTGCGCCGTTGCCTGTTGTTATCCATATTAGCATTTTTTAAAATGTTGCAAAATTAAAAATCCATCGTTTTGTGTTGACCAATAACATTAGCGATTCACAAATAAATATTTCCCCGTTTTTTTTTTTTACTACATGTTTAAACATTTACAATTTGCTGATCCTTCAGAACCATTTGGTTGCTAATCTGGAGGTTTTTTTTTTACCTAACTATAATGATATTTCAGGAAATAAAACGTTCTAGGACTCTGGGACTTTTTTAAAAAAAGCCAGGAAGTAACCTGAGCCCAGAGACCCCTATGGGGTGAAGGGATCAAGGAATAGCGCTTTTTTTTTTTAAATCATCAAGACAACTTTAGCTTTGACTCGCCGGTGCAGCCATGCAGCTAATTTACGTCTCTGAAAAAATGTCAATTTTGGTTTCTACATTATTTGGTCAAATTTGTAACTCAGTCAACAGTGTTTAGTTCTGGCGGTTTAATATATTTAAATACTGGAGTCTTATTTAACTTTTCTTTTTTTTCTTTTTCCAGGTTTAAGAGGAAAGAGGCGTAATCACAAGAAGAACTGCGTTCAATCCTGATGGATCCAAACCGGAAAAATCAACAAGAACTTGTGATCATTACCATTAATATTTGCAAAAAAAACTTCTATATTTGGTTCCGTTTTGAGATGAGTGGGACTTTGAAGCTCTTTGCAACACTTTGATTATTTTTTGGTGCTGTTTTAACATCAGGCTGCATCCACACTTTTTATGATTCTTTGGTTTTATACATAAATAGTTTCTCTTTTTTTGGTTAAAAATGCATAGAATTTGTCATTGAGTAAAATTAATAAAGTACATAGTATTTTGGTAATTTTTTAGGGAGTAAAAAACACATAGAAAACTCATAAATATGACCTGATGCTTATTTCTGTCACAATGCTATTTTTACCCAGTGTGCCTCATTTGGGAAAACTAGTTTTCTAGTTTTGAAGATTTGTGTTTGCAGACGCACAAAGCAACAGAATGCAAAGGAATGTCTTTATATGAAGCAGACCTCGTTCAGTATGTTTACTTTAAAAAGATGCATGTACAAGCAAGTCCATTTCAAAAGATGTAGCACTTTTTCCCGATAAATAAACTGATGGACTTGATGTGATTATTTTTTTCTTCCTCTCTCTCTTCTGTGATTCACTTTATTTTGAAAAGGTAATGACCATATTTTTAAATATAAACTGTTCCGAGTCGACCCAATGTTAATAAGTTGTCCAAGAAATCTCATTGTAAGCTGATCTCACCTCTGGGAGTTTCTATTTGAAAGGGTAGGATACATTATCTTCACACAACTCAACACATTCATGGACTGAATGAATGAATGGATGATGTACAAAGGCTTGTTTGTTTTCTGCAGATTGAGTTTAGAGATAATCCAGGACTGAATCTTGGCTGTATGCAGCCACCTGAAAAGACCCGAAACCCACACAAGTGCGTTTACTCTGCCATCATCAGATTTGCGTCACCCGTCTGTTGGACTAACACGGGTGTGAACGTTTGCCTGCTCCTGTTTGCGTAAGATTGTTGTATGAACTCTACTTCTGTTATTTATGTTAGAAGACGTTTTTTAGTAAACATAACAGTTGTGTGTTTTTTAAGATTGATTGCAAAATGTTGAGTTTTGATTTAACTTTAATATAACAGTATCTTAAAATCTGCATCTCCAAGAAGCTTGAAGCGTTATAAAACTTCTTGGTGGGGTGTTGCTTTGATCTTGGACCTCAGAAAACAAAGTGGACCAGCCCAATCCATCACTGACCATTACAAACTACACTAGTCCTTGTACAGCATGGACCTTGATTTCCGAAAAATAGTGCAAAAATTACTTTCATTCAGTAATTATGGTCAGGACATGGATGCACAAGGCTTGCTGTCCTTCTCGGGTGCGTCCGAGTGGCCCCATTTCCCGTGAGAAGGGGTGAAAGAGGAAGGCTGATCGGGCCGAGTCACAGAGAGATGGGATAGAGCAGCTTTTAAAGGCATGAGGAAATAGAATAATTGATGGTCGGTTACTTCCTGACCACGCCCCCTGGAACCTCTTTAGTTAATTAAACAATCTTCATAAAACATGACTCAGCAGCAGTCCAGTTTTAACCCCAAACGACACATTTCTTACTCTTGTGTTCAAGACTGGCTGCGTTTCACAATCCAAGGTTGGGTTTCCCTAATGCTTGTTCACTTTTTTCTATATTATTGCCTTTCCTCTCTATTAACGTGCTTGGATGCAGCTCTGTGATTAGTTAGCCTTTTTAGCAATGTCCCTTTGTGTCTTGCCCTCCCTGTGCTAGGTGTCAATAGCCTTCTTTTGGGCATCTGTAAAGTCAGCAGTCATCCTATGTGTGTTGTGTACAGAACTAGATTGAACTAGAGTTATTTACCAACTTTTTTATAAAATTAAAGTTTTCAAACATACTGAATATTGGGCTTTCTTTAGTTATATTAATCAAAATGAAAGAAATGAACACTTGAAATGTATAAGTCTGTGGTAGATTTTGAATGGAATCACTGAAATAATCTTTTTGTTTATATTCTAATTATATAATTAGTACCTATACAATTGCTGGAGATGGAATATTTTATATTCAGCTTTTTGCTCTGAAAAACAAGGTGATTTTAAGCTATGATACTGAGATAAAGGAAATGAAACTCAGGAAGAGCAGAATTTGCACTTCAAGACCACAAATTTATGCAAAGGAAGCTTCTTTTTTGCATGACATCAAAAACGCAACAGTGCCCTCTTTTGTACAAGAACTTAAAGTGCATTTATTTCTGAAAGCTAGTACATTCAATAAATACAATTATTTTATAT